AAAGACATCAAATTATGCCCACACATGCAAGCTGACCCACGATCAGACTATTCATTTAACCGGTAAATAAATATAGTGAAATCAGCTTAACCGAGTCATCCCGCTTCACGTATTATCCAACCAACATCAGTGTCAGGGAAAAGCTAAATGTTACAATCTAATGTCATTTAAAACAATTACTGAGTTACATTTTAAAGCATTAGTGTAGCCAGAAAAATACCTAAAAAAGATACCAAAATTCACATGTTATTACCGTGAAAATTGGTTAAATTTTGGCACGGATAACACTCAATATGCTATATAACTTTTTTGTCATCATTTTAATGTAAAAACTAAGATTTATCTTAGGCTATCATAAGTGTATTTTTTCGAGATATTGTAAACCATCATAAACATTAGGTTACTAGGCCTACCCGTCATTTTATTTATTAATTATTTTATTTATTAAGCCTTTTTTTAATAGCTTGTTTTCAGGTTATTTTCATTTTAGGGCCATGAGCTACAAGTCAAAACAAACTCGATATGTTGTATTTTAGCTCTTAAAACAGATCTACAATATATTTTATGTTGTTTAATTTTGCATGAGCAAAAAGCTGTATAGCCTAAATGACATTTTTAAAAGATTATCATTCTGGCTACCTGCAGCATGTGAGAGGTTTCTCGGTTGATCCGCGATAAATCCACTTAAGCACTATACCTATTCCATTTATAACACTGCAAACTTGACTTAATAAACGCAAAAGGCATTTATTATGTGTTATACCTTGACTGCTGCTGCATAATAGGATGTTTCTCTACACAACTGTAAAAGTGCGCTTTTTAGCAAAATGAAAGCAAACATTAAGGGTTCTGCGTTTTGTCAATTTTAGTTTAATTGTAATAATATTAATAATAATATTAATAAATAAAATTAAAATATTATTTATAGTGTAGCCTACTGTGGGACTGTGCAGTAAACTATTTATTTTTATTAAAACATTTTTATTAGGTTACATCTTCCCAAATAACTAATAAATGACTGGCAGTTGCTCTGCTAAAATTAATTTAACAGCAAATTTCTTATGTGTTTTTTCCTTTTAGAGCTCAAGAGAGTTGTGTTTAAATAATTAGTTAACCAAAACATGTAATGAATTAAGCTGCTCCTATCATGTCACCCATTTTCTCCCTTGTGAGTTGAGTGCGCCTCCATCGCCGTGTGCGCGTTTTAAAGGCTATTTACGGGCGCACCTGACCTGACGCGGGACCGGATCTCTGAACTATAGGACTAGCTTTAATATCACTATTTTCATAATTCAATTGCTATGTCATATATTTTAAAATATTTAAATGTGTGTTCTTAAGGTTGGAACGACGAGGGTGTTAATAATTAATGACAGAAAGGATTTTCAGTTTGAGTGAACAATCCTTAATAAAAACTGGGGGGGCACAAACTCTTTCTGAGGGGGCAATGCCCCCCTTTGTCCCCCCGTAGCGCCGGGCCTGCAGTGAGTTGTTCGCTTCTCTACAGAGAGGATTAAGTAAAGCCTAAAGTTTGGTCCAACTGTTAAACTAATGTACAGTGTATCTCTGCTGTACTGTAGTAGCAGTCGTCTCTGTGCTCTTATGAATCGTTTGGTGTGTTTGGATCATTTTGAAGCTTTGAAACGGCACTGAACCACATTTATTCGTGTTCGTATCTTAACCATTTCCAAGCATTCTGAGGTATTTAGATTAATTTACTACACCTGAGTAATGAAAACCTATCACTGATTACCTGTCAGAGCATGTGTTTAGCCGTCTGCAGTGAACTCTACAGTAAAGTAAGGAGTCTCACTTGTTCCAGTGGCTCTTGGAGTTCCTGTAGAGCGCGGGGAACATGATGGGTAGGATCTTGGCTGCGTTATCACTGATGAGACTCATGATGTACTCGTTATTCCAGTAATACAGCGCTCGCTCAGCCACCTGCACACACACACACACACACACACACACACACACACACACACACACACACACACACACAATTTAAAGGGTCACGAAACACCAGAACACATGTGTTGAGCTGTTGACAGTGGTATATGTGTGTCCCACACTGCTATAAACACTATTAGGACTGAAAGCAAATTCAGTCAAAATCTGTATTTTCAGTGAGAGCTGCTAGGGAATGGAACTCCATCCCACCAACAATTAGAAGATCATGCACTTTTCGTTCTTCTCAGTCTCATGTTAGAAATTGGTTATTGACAAATCAGCATTGTCAGCATTAGTACTGTATTCTAGACACATTTGTACTGTTGTCTTTGGCTTTTTGTCCTCTGCTCCCATCAGTCTGTTCTTTTTTTTTTCTTTTTTTCTTTTCTTTACTTTTTTAACTGTATTTCTTATGAAAGTGTATTTAATGTTTAATGTTGTGCTTCTATTTTAGGTGTGACTTTTTAACATTCTGTAAAGGGTCTACGGATGAAAAATAGCCATTCTTGGCTAATTCTGGCACATTTTACAGTAATGTTTATTAATGTGCATTGACCCTGTAAACAAATAAACTAAAAAAAAAAATAAAAAAAAACTATATTTCACTAAAAAGTGTAAATTGGTTGTTTTTGCGTTATTTCCAGCAAATTCGTTCTTCCGGTTTGAAACGAATTGTTGAAGCTGCGTCACGGTCATGACATAATAGCGTGTATTCCAGCGTGCAGACTGGCCGTCGGTTTACAAGTGAGTCTTATTACGTCTTACAGTGTGCTGCATTAATGCATGAGTAAAGCTTGGTTCAAACCAATCAGCGCGCTCTATTGTGCAACTTCATTAATATTCATTACTGTCACAGTGTTTAGACGGCAGAGACGCCACGTTGTGTTGGCAAAACAAGCGTGAAGTGTTGCTTTTATAGTTTGCTGCAGTTAAGTTTTGTTTTCATTTCTCTCTGTGAGAGCGCAGCTGGAGTCACGTGTGGATTAACAGTGTACGCGATGCTCGACAACAATAACTTACATGTCTAAGGAGGATTATTGTTTACCTGAGAGCTGTTCTCATCTGCAAACGCTGAGATCCGGATTCGCTTGTAGTCTCCTCTAAATAAAGACGCGGCTCTAGTTGCTGGTGATTGTCCTGTCTCTACAGATTTGGTAAGTGAGTGACCAGTGCTCTTTGTTTATTCAGTTTGTTCGTATCAAACTAAGTTAACTATTGCACCGAGTGTAAACATGTTAGCACCACAACCAAACTATAACCTGGTGTAGGATTTTCACCGTATTTAGTGACCGGAATAACACACGCGGCTTTCTGACACTACCTGCCGTGTGCATCTAAGTTTCCGGGAATTGCGGAGGGTTTTTTTTCTCTCATTCGCCGTGCGGTATCAAACATTGCATGAAAAATACACGCTTACAGCAGTTCCTCCAATCAAATATCTCGTTTGTCGCGAGGGACATGAATGAATTCCCTGAATGAAAGAGCCAAACTGCAGTTAAAGTCCAACATTTAATCATTTGGCAAAAAATTTGACTACAGATGCCCATGTAAATGCCATCACTTTCTCCCGTGTGTGTGTGTGTGTGTTTTGACTCTGAAACTCGCGCGTGCCCAAATAGACACTCCCACACCCTCCCACTTTAGTTTCTCCGACACTCCCCCCTAAACAGAGCTGGACACGCCCACTTTTCTGACTTTTTCCAAAGTAGAGGTGTGAAAACACCCTGCTGAAACGAGGGGCTTTCATAACCCTTTAATGAATTTTGTGGATATTCCACAGGTTTCCATTGTTTTTTTTACTGTACAGATTGTATTTTCTATACATTTTCTATATCCTTAATCCAGCCTTCACAGCAAACTGCAGTCTATAAATTTCATTCTGGGTGCTTTCATGAGCCTTTCAAGAGTTCACACTTAGATACTGTTTGACAAATGATAGCAGGTTTGGCATGCTGTCCCAGGAGAGAACCCTGAGCTCTGAGATAATTGAGCCCAGGGCTCCCGCCTGGTGGATCGAGCATGTAAGGGGAATACGAGATCAGGTGGTTCTCGAGAGCTCCCCGTGGTAAAGGAAGAAAGGGGGAGAAGGGGTGGATGGGGGGTTTCTCTGGAAAACAAAGATAAGGGAGGAGTTTTAGCTAGGCTACTTAGAGTGAGTTTGGATTAATCTGATTGGCTAACTCATGATTGTAGATAAGAGACCAGCTGCGGTCAATCATATCACATGCTCCTTAAAAACACACACACATGAACACACAGACACAGGCACACACACACACACACACTGACCTGGAAGTGCGGGCTGGACACACACTTGGCCAGCTGTCTGAAGAGCGGCTCCATCACCTTGACGAACTCTGAGGGCTCGATGACGTCCAGGATCTCCTCCAGCTCGTTCAGGAACATCACCTCCTTCGGGCTGTGTGTCTTCGGCCAGTACTTGAGGAGCGCCATCACCACCTGCACAGAGAGAGAGAGATAGAGGAGTTCCTAATCCACTGATCAATACACTAATCAATTAATCAATCAAGGAGCAGATCAGCCAGACATGAACACTCTGTCTTTGACCTTTCCCCATCACTGAGGAGACTACACTGCAATGGACGCTGTTCTTACTTTCATTTGTTGTCTTGTTTCTAGTCTAAATGTCTACAAATGAGTGAATCCAGAAGCATTTTCTAGGCATTACTTTCCTTAACCCCAGGTCAGATTATTCTGCTTGTTTTACTGAACAACTCTTCATCATTTCAGAAAACAACACTGTATTGTGTGCTTGTCTAGAAAATGCTTCTTGATTTCAGATATTTGGACTAGAAACTGTAAGAAAAGCATGCTTTGAGAAAACTCTTTCCCGCCATTGATGAGTTTTTACAGCAATCCGTGTTTTATGTGTGTTACGGTAGAGGAAGCTCTAACGCATGTCCTGAGTGAGGACGTCTGTGTCTCCTGGGAGTGAAATATAAGACGATCAGAGAAAGTAATGGCTCGTTTCCACTGACTGGTACAGTACAGTGCGGTGCGGGTCGGTACTGGTCACCTTTATCAGGCTTGCGTTTCTACTAGCAAGGGTAGCCTTTTGGTAAGCGTGGTGTATGACAAAGTTTCAGTAGACGTCATTTTCGCTCGAGAAAATGTCTACAATAAGGCTGCACAGGTCGCTCACATATCATATGAAAAGCACTTTACGCTTTACACACATAAACACTTCTGTATAAATGTTTATTACTGACTTTTCTATGAACAGGAGTTGATTATAACTGCAGATCAATGACAGTGCGAAATAGCCTACTGTAACGTCTGTAATTATATTAAATAAATAAATAAATAAACATATATGAACACATACCGCCCCTTACAGTCCCCGATATATTATTAATTACAGAAACACTACACACAGCAGACATTTAGTACTTAATTAGGTTCAAAACAACACAAAGTAAAGCCTACAGTCAGAGCAGACCTCTCATCTGTGTGTGTAATGTTCAGCAGCACATGCAGCCTCTGTTAGAGTCACTCCATCATTCCCAGTTCATATTAGTCCAAAAGGTGAAGATAAAAATGAATGCCAGGCAGTTTGTTCCTGTTTGCTGGAGAAATAACGTGCTGCTTGGCTTCCCTTTTTTTCCGTGCTCTACTCTCACGTTTCAGATATAGACGCCCGGCGAGTGCAAGCAGGAAAGCAAAACCGCTCACGCTTCAGACTGGCTCGTAAAAAACCTTTAGGCACAGAGTAGATTCTGCTCTACTCTATGGCTTTATGGCTGTTCATCAAGACAACGACAAGGTTTGTTTGAGCCCGGATCGACCATGACTTGTTACTATATATATATAATTCCGCTGTAATCTCTCGCTGTGTATTTCAAACATGGCGGGTCCTTTGTTTACATTCTGGCTTGTTGTAAACCAATCAGTGTTCAGCTGCGCGTCTAGCTCCGCCTTTTGGTACCCTTTCTTGTGTTTAGGACTCTTTTGAAAGGGTGCCGAAAATGTGGTATGGTACGGTTTGGTTCGGTTCGCCTTGCCTTTAGACAGTGGAAACGGCCATAAAAGCATACCAAACTGAACCGTACCGTACCACTCAGTGGAAACGGGCCATAAGATTGTGGGTAAAAATGAGTTTTACAACCCTCCTTTGGTTTACTCATGTCTTTATCACGGCTCGCCACAGCAAAATCACCCACTCACCTATCTGCACTAGCTTACACACACACACACACACACACACACACACACCACACA